GAATTCCTGGTCGTACAAGCCGGTCTCAATACCCACAAGAAGTTCAAACATTCCAAGCTGACATAATTATGGTGTGGACAGGAATACGTTTTCGTGGAATAATGAATCTCGTTTGGATATAGGGCACTATGACGGCTGAAAAATACCGTAAATAGGTGCTAGAACTAATAATCTTGTCACATCGAACACAAATCCAACGTGTGGACGCTATCACAAACTCTTGGTTAGTATCTTTGCCAACAAATGCGCCACTATGTTGGCCAACGTGAAAAGCCACCTTTACGATGCTGTATTTGGCTCGCCGCTCACTTAGCGGTCAGCCACCGCAGAGTCTACTACACCTGTAGATGCTCGTGTAGAGACAAAACACGTGTAGTATTATCATCGGTGGTGTGTTTTTCCTAGTTTAGTGGTGGTGGGAGTAGTGGTGCTGGGATTATAGGTGACGGGGGTAGTGCACGCAATTAAGGGAGGGCCTTACCTAGTTTGAAGAGCACCCTCCACTCTTCAAACTAGGTAAGACATATAATTTTATTTTATTATGTAGATATTGGCAAATTACAATTTTACAACTTTAATAAATCGTATATGACAACGTATAAGAAACAAAATAATTGCATTTTTATGTAAGTTATGAAGAAATAAAATTTTATAACACTCTTTCTTTCAGTCATGAAAAGAAATCTTATGTATATTTCACTGATATTCATTAATTACATTTGCATCTACAATTCCCCTGGTGTTGCAGTTGTTCTTTGGCGGCCTTAGTCACTTAACATCAGGTGAGCCGCATGTTTGTTTGCCCCCTCTCCTATAAAAAATGCTAAAAATAGTAAGTCGACACGAGTTTCAAGCGCTGAACAATATTGTGAACGATTTGTGTACATTTATTTCATCATTATCATTACAGCCCTTCACAAGTCTACTGCTGAACATAGGCCTCCCCCAAAGAATGCCACAAAGCACGGTCCTGAGCCACCTGCATCCAACGACTTCATGCATATCTTACCAGGTCGTCACTCCATCTAGTGGGGGGACGCCCTACACTTCGCCTGCCGGTACGAGGCTGCCACTCGAGAACCTTTCTTCCCCATCGGTTGTCGGTTCTTCGAGCTATATGGCCGGCCCATTGCCACTTCAGCTTACTAATCCGTTGGGCTATGTCGGTCACTCTGGTTCTACTGCGGATATCCTCATTTCTGAGTTTATCACGCAGAGAAACTCCGAGCATAGCCCTCTCCATAGCTCGCTGAGCGACCTTGAGCTTCCTCATACGGCCAGCAGTGAAGGACCACGTCTCAGTTCCGTATGTCATCACTGGCAACAGGCACTTGGTGTACAGTCTCGTTTTCAAGTTTTGAGGTATACCTGACGAGAAGATGTGCCGTAATTTCCCGAACGCTGCCCAACCGAGTTGAATCCGTCGATTGACCTCTCGGTCGAAGTTGGACTTACCTAGTCGGACTATTTGTCCCAGGTAAACATACTCGTCAACAACTTTTTTTTTTTTATTTATTTATTTATTTAATAGACAGTAGGAAGTATAACAATTAATAAGGTGTAAACATAAACTCTTTTGAGTTTTACCGTACACCCCACGCCGTCGATATACAACAATAAAAATTAAAACTATTTATAACAATATTTGCTACACACTTCATAAATACATATTTAAGGAACAATCATAAGACAGCCACACGTTTTATAAACACCATGCGGGTATATCACAAAATAAAGTTATGTAAAAACCTTTTGTGGACGTTCCTATGCAGCGTTGTCTTCAGTTATTGATACTTTTTTATTGTACAGGATGTTTTTTAGCATTACGGTTTTAACAAGTATTGTATAAAGTGTGGTTTGTGATTATTATTATATAGTGTTGTTAGTTTATATTTATTACATATGTGTATTTTATAAAACATAAACATATATATACATATATAATACATAACATACACACACATACACATACATATATATTATATAGATAGATATAAAGTTGTTATGTGTATTTTTTGTTTATTATTTGTAGAAAATATTGTTTCAAGATGTTTTTTAGATTTTTATATGTTATTTTTTCTTTAATAGGATTAGGTATAATGTTAATTAGATAAGGTATTATGTAATTTAATCGTTTTTTACCATACAGGTTATTATAAGAAGGTAGTTGTAGTCTAAGATTATCTTGTCTACGGATTGAATAATTTTTGTGTAGTTTTTGTAGATTTTCAGTAAAATAATATTGTGATAAAAGAGTTAGTTCTACTTTTTCATGAATTGGTAAAATTTTACAAAATGCAAATAGCTTACGGTAATCTTTAAAGGTATCTTTTATTTTTATAGGAACTATTCTTTTTAGTATACGTAGCTGGAGTGAAAAAATATTGTCTAGGTGTGTTTTAGAGGTCCTTCCATAACTGGACAACCCATAGGATATTATAGACTCAGCCAGGGATTTATAGAGTAGTAGAAGTGTTTTATAAGGTATTTTAGATTTTATAATTGAGAATTTGGCTAATATTACCCTTAATTTGTCACTGACATGGTTAATATGCTCCTTCCAGTTTAGCCGATCGTCGATTACGAGTCCAAGGTATGTATATTTACTTACTTGTTCTATGGTGTCACAGTTACATTGAGTGTTATTTGATTGTTTTAAATGTAGACATTGATGGTTGTGTGCTATAAGTTTTAATCTAAAAGTGCTTCTGTTTTTACTAGAGCTGATGTAATTTAATTTCGTTTTATTGGAATTAAGTACAAGTCCAACATCATGAGACCATTTCACTAATATGTCAAAATCGCTTTGAAGTCGAGTAAGGGCATCTTCGATGTTTCGTCCTGTGGCAACTAGACATGTGTCGTCCGCAAACTGGTACAACTCACACTGTTTTATTGCATTTGAGAGATTATTTACGTAAGTGAGGTAATGTAAGGGTCCTAAGACGGAGCCTTGGGCAGTACCTTCGGTTACTAAAACTGAGAAACTATCTACATTACTGATCCTAACTTGGTAGCTTCTATCATGTAAGTAGTTTTCGCACCAAGTTAGTAGATTACCCCTGACCCCACTGTCGTTCAAGCTTTGTAGAAGCTTGTCATGTCTGAGAGTATCAAATGCCCTACTATAGTCAACGAAGACGACCAATATATGCTCTTTTTTATCTAAGTGGTTATAAATACTGTCAGTGAAAGTAGATAGCAGTTGAGTCGTGCTTTTATGTGGTTGAAATCCGTATTGGTTGCAAGTTAGTATACTATTATTGGCATAAAAGTGTTGTATTTGAGTTCCTACATATTTTTCTACTACTTTGTTGATCGTAGGCAATATGGTTATTGGTCTATAGTTGAGGTAGTCCACCTGGCTACCTTTTTTATGAATTGGTCTCACAATGCCGGTCTTTAGTAATTTTGGGTATTTGCCAGTGAGAATGCATGCGTTTATAAGTTTAGCAATGGTTAATGAAATTTTGTCACACATCTTTTTTACATCAATGGCTCTTATCCTATCTACTCCAGGAGCTTTGTTACTATTAAGAGATTTTAGTATTTTTGTTATTGATTTGGGTTCTGCAGACCTAAATCTCATACTCACATTTGCTGATACTCCATAGGTTTTTTTGTCGAGCAATGGTTCGGGACATTTTGATATTATTTGTTTGACACTATTATTGAATGTGACAGCGAATTTATTTGCAACGTCTTTCGATGAATTGTTATTGCTGCCAAAAGAGCGTTCTAAGCCTTCATCTATAGACGATTTTATTCTACCCGTTAATCTGTTTAAGATAGACCACAAATTTTTAGTATTGTTTTTGTTGGATATTATTTCTGACTTAGTGTTTTTGTTTTTAGTTTTTTGAATCAATGCATTGGCATTGTTTCTAGCTTTATTGTATTTTAGTTTTAAAATCATATTATTTGTATTTTTTATCCATTGAAAAAATAAATTGTCCCTATACTCACAGGCTTTGATGATTTTATTATTTATCCAGTCGTTATTAATTCGCGTAATTTTAGTATTAATTTTGATTGAATATTCTGATTTTTTATAGCATTCTGTAAATTTTGTATAAATATAGTTGTAAATATTTAAAGGGCAGGTCATGTCGTAAGTGGGCGTCCAATCTATCTCTTCTAATAGTGAATTCAATTTTTTATTATTAAAACATATTTTATATGTTGGGACAGCCTGTGTTCGTGGTCCGACGCAGGCTATTATAACCGCCCGATGGTCGGCCAGTGTCGTACCGATTGCCGCTGTGTATAGGTCTTGTGTACGGGATCGTGCGTAAATGTGATCTATACAGCTTTTACTTAGCCTTCCATTACTTAATTCGATCCTTGTATGTGCTGTGATCCCGCACAAAAGACCTAGGCTGTGTAACATGTTGTTGTATTTATGTTTTGCAGGATTGTCTAATTTCAGATCAATGTTTATATCGCCTAGTAAGTATAAATCTGTGTCACAAGAGTAATTGTCGATTAGGTTTAGGAGTTCGTCAATAAAAAGGTTTTTACTCGAGCTGGGAGGGCGGTATACGGCACATATATTCGTAATGTAATTTGAGTTAGTGGTGATTGTTAGTAATATGTTTTCAAAGTGTTTTGTTTTTATAGTTTTTATGTTGCATTTGTGTTTGTTACTGACGTAAATGATTATACCGCCACCCCTTCTAGATTTTCTTAACGCAGTAAACATTTGATAGCCATTGATATGAAACAAACAGCTAGTATTATCCATTACATTAACTTCAGTTAGAATTACGACATCTATAGGTTTATTTGACGTTATTATGCATTGTTCAAGTGCTGCGAAATTTTTAATTAGGGATCTGATATTAAAATGAATGCACAATAGATTAACATGGTAATTAGGAATATCGTTTAGAAATTGATTTATATTTAGACAGTCAGATATCTCACAAATTTCATCTAACATAATTCAAATTATAAAATGAATTTAGACCTTACGGCTAGGTGTATAGATAAGTACAAATTTAAGAAAGCTTAGTTAGAACATTTAGATCATGCAGGGTTTTCAATGTGTAAATTTTTGAACTGTCATCCTTACGTGCCTTTACATATCCCTTCTTAAACCATACATACTTATAATTCTGGTTATTTTTTAAATCCTGCTTCGCCTGCCACAATATAATTTTATTATTTTTTGTCATTGCTTCTCTGATGTACACGACATTATTGCTGTTCTTTTCTGTAGGATAGATATCTGCTACGGTAGTCTTAGTGGATTTTGCTGCTGATATCCATTTCTCTTGTAAAAGCTCGTCTTGAAATTCTACCTTTATGTTCGCCGGATGGTCTTTTTTTCCAGGAAGTCTTCGAATACTTTTTATTCCTTCGAGGGGCTGTTGTAGTTTCAGAGCGATGCTTTCCACCAGTTTTTTGACATTTTCTGTGGGTTGGTAGGGAACATTTGATATTTCTATGCAATTCGTAAGTTTTTCTTGCTCTAATTCTTGCAGTTGCTGTTCAAGGGCACCTACCCGCGTTTCCAAATTCTTGTTCTTATTAGTAAGCTCTACGTTTTTTCGTTCTAGAACTTTAATGGTTTGTTTAAATGCATCTATACATTCGACCACTTCTTCTAGCTTAGCACTATGGAACTGTAGAGACTCGTTCAGTTCCCGCATTTCACTTTTTATTGCTTTTTCGACTTCCTTGCTTATTGAACTCAGCAAGTTTTTGGAGTTTATTAAGACGCGTTTATCATCTTCTTCGTCGTTTTCTTCCGGGATTACAATAGATGAGTTCCGTCTCGGTGATTCCTGCTGACAATCAAGGCAAGTCCATTCCAGGCTGGAGGCCGCTTTCAGTGCTGCGATTTGTTTGTTTGTCAAGCCACTGCATTTCGTGTTAAGATGCACAATTTTTTCACACTTACTACACTCCAATCCGGGAAGAGATTTTGTAAATGATTTTTTACAGATATCACATTTGGACATTGTGGGTACTTTGAAGTAATCCGATTTACTCATTACAAAAGCGTGTAGCACTTACGACTAACGACAGACGATTGATTGTTCGAGCTTAGTGTTCCCAACAACTACCAGCATAGGTGTGACATGGACATTAAACATGATCTTTGTTTTGTCCATGTTCATCTTAAGACCTATCCGTTGGGAAACACTATTGAGGTCATTGAGCATAGTGCTTAGGTCCTCCAGCGATTCTGCCATAAGGACTATATCGTCGGCAAATCGAAGGTGAGTGATGTACTCGCCATTGATGTTGATACCGTATCCTTTCCAGTCCAGAAGCTTGAAAACATCTTCCAATGCAGCGGTAAAGAGTTTCGGGGATATGACGTCACCCTGTCTTACACCTCTCTGCAATTGGATAGGTTTCGTAATCTGGTTCTGTACTCGGATAGCCATCGTAGCCCTACTGTACAAGCACTTCAACACTTCGATATACCGACAGTCAACTTGGCATCGCTGAAGGGACTGCAGCACCGCCCAAATTTCGACGGAATCAAAGACTTTCTCATAGTCCACATACGCCAGACATAGTGGCAAATTGTACTCCTCGGACTTCTGTACAATTTGCCGAATGGTATGTATGTGGTCTATGGTGCTAAAGACGATTCGTAATGACTCTCGAAAACAGCACGTAGACGCGGCTCAGAAGGGAAATCGGTCTGTAGTTCTTCAAGAGAGCGTTGTCGCCTTTCTTGAAGAACAAGACCACCGCACTTCTGCTCCACGCCTCCGGTGTAATGCCACCATGGAGGACGGAATTAAAGAGCTTCTGAAGGACTTCAAGTACCGGTTTTCCACCCGCTTTCAGAAGCTCCGCTGTAATTCCATCCTGGCCTGGGGCCTTGCCGTTTTTAAGGTGCTGGAGAGCCATTCTAATCTCGCTCAGACTGACGTCCGGGATATCATCGGAATAATGTCGGATAAGACTCGCTCTTGGATCGTTACTCACACTTGCGTGTGGCTCCAACGATGACGTGTACAGCTGCCCATAGAACCTCTCAATCTCACTCAAAATCTCAGGTGCCCCGGAAACGATGCTGCCACATTCGGTCTTCAGCTTTGACAGTTGGCTCTTTCTGGCAGACAGATCTCTGGCAAAGACTTTGGAGCCTTGGTTCCGCTCGATCGCTTCTTCAATACGAGCTGTATTGAAGTTGCGTACGTCCCGCCGCATGCATTTGGAGATCTGTCTGTTCAGTTGCCTGTATGCTGTCAAATCTGTTGAAGAATGTAGCTTCATCTCCCGTCTAACAGCCATGAGATTAAGAGTGTGATCGGAGAGATTTTGTGTTCTTCTGCGGCGGGTCTTGCAGAACTTAGCTCCGACCGCATGGACAGTTTCCACGAGCTTGTCATTCAAATCGTCCACTTCATTGCAGTCTTCTAGGCACTGAAAACGGTTTTGTAACTCGAGCTGAAAGGTTTCGGGACTTTTGATTAGAGCACGAGGGGGACGGAGCGTTGACTTCATTAGACGAGACCTCTCTAACTTAACGTTTAGGTTCAGTGTGCATCTAACCATTCGGTGATCGCTGCCGGTTTTCACCCTCGCGATCACTGAGACATCACTGAACAGTTGTCGTCTGGTCGTCATAATGAAATCAATCTCATTTTTTGTCGAACCGTCGGGGCTCGACCAGTTCCACTTCCTGTGGGGCCGCTTCTGGAAGAAAGAGTTCATCATAAAGAGTCCCTCTTTCTCCATGAAGTCGGCCAACTGCTGGCCCCTTGGGTTCCGTTGCCCTATTCCAAATTTCCCCACTTTCAGCTCACCGTTCTCTCTTGTGCCTAGTTTTGCATTGAAGTCTCCCATTAACACCGTATATTGGGTTTTGGAGGAATGCATGGCTCTAGAGATATCCTCATACATTTCCTCCACCTCCTGATCGGGGTGTGCCGAGGTTGGTGCGTAAACCTGTATGACCTTCAGCGAATACCGTTTGGTGATTCTGAGTATAAGGTACGCAACCCTCGTCGACACACTCTCAATCTTTACAACGTTGTTAACGAGAGACTTGTGGACGATAAATCCGACACCTCCTTGGGACAGATGGTCGCCCTTCCGGTAATAGAGCAAGTTGCCGGATTCGAGGATTACCTTGTCCTCCCCCTCTCTTCGGACTTCGGATAATCCTATAATATGCCAGCGTAACTTGTCTATCTCTTCTTCCAGCTCCACAATCTTCTCGTCAGTCCTCAGGGTGCGTGCGTTGTATGTTGCCAGGTCGAGTCGTTGTAGGTGGTAACTGAACCTCCACCGGAGATTCTTAGCACCCCCTGCCCCGCCGTTACCATGGTCGCCACCGTAGCCAGGAATAGCGGGGCCGCCGGGGACTGGGGGCCGTCTCTTCGTAACTTTCATTATGGGGGGTATATTGCCATAGTTGCCACGCTTGGCGAGCGGGTTGGCAACCGCAGTTTTTTATTGTATTTTTGCCGTTCCCAGGAAGATGCTGCTGCCCATCTCCTGCCTGTTTCCCTTTGTCGCCTTTTACGACACCCACGGGAAGATATGGGGTAGTGGATATTCTTAACCGCCACTACACGGCATTTATTTAGCTGAATGAAATCCTTAGTTGTCCTACAGAAACCCGTACCTCAGTAATATTTATTAATCAAGTATCAACACTATCATTAACACAGCCCATCAAAATTTCGCTGCTAGACAATGGCCTGTCCCGTAGATAGCAAAAAGTATGTTCCTGAGCCACCTGCATCCATCGCCCACCTGCGTGTTTATTGAGATCGTCACTCCATCTAGCATGTGGTTGCCAAACTCTGCGCTTGCCAGTACGAGACTGCCACTCGAAAACATTTCATACTCAGTGGTTTTTAGTTTCTCGGTGCTATATGAACAGCCCAATGCCACTTTAACCTACTGATCGGCTGTACTTTTGTTACTTCTGGTGTTCTACGAATACTCTCATTTCTAAGTTTATTACGCACAGGAACCCAAGCCTTCTGGAAGTTTTCTGATGGAAATACACAACAATATAAAAAACGTTACAGTTTGTTTTCCTATAAGAAAAAATGAGTGAGTTTTAAAATTGCTGCAATAGCTACCGAGAACCCATTTGTGGCGAACATACAACGAACAACTTTCATCCAACTTGCGCCAATAAAGTTTGAGTCATTCGATAACTACCGTTGATTTTATAGATGTTTCTTTATAACACAAAAAAATAAATTCTAAACAATAGCTCCTAATTTAGTCATTGTATGATTTAGTGCATAGAGAATTAGTAAGCTGGAGTGGTCCGGCCATATAGCTCGAAAAACCGACAACAGATGGGGAAGAAAGGTTCTCTAGTGGCAGCCTCGTACTGGTAGAAGAAGTGTAGGGCGGTCCCCTACTAGATGCAGTGACGACCTGGTAAGACATGCAGGAAGTCAATGGATGCAGGTGGTTCAGGATCGTGCTTTGTGGCATTCTTTGTGGGAGGTCTATTCTCAGCAGTTGACTTGGAAGGGCTGTAATGTTGATGACGACGATGATGACTTCCAGAAAGTTATTTTCCACATCATATACAAGCAAACCATCCTAATTCTCATCGTCACAACGAAACGTATGTCAGTTTCTGGATGCTTATTGCATGCACGATATCCAAAGATAAGGTATTGTGTAACCCACATTAACACTTTTCGTTTTTTTTTTTATAGGATAAGGGTGACCGATAGTGCTGAAGGTGATAGTGCTGACGAAATGTATTTAAACAAGTTTTAAAAATTCCTTATAATCATGTTATACATAATTTTTTTAATACGCTTAGGGCATGCCCAATTGGATTTACCAATATAATTTTTTAAATGATAGGGTGACAAACGAGCACACAGTCCACCTGATGGTAAGTGGTTGCTGCGGCCCATAGACATCTACATTTATCCTCTATTACAAAACAAAATGCAGATGCGTTGTCACCCGTGAGGATTAAGATGGAATGCCCCATTTCCAGTAAAAAGGGCCTCAGTTTTTTGCATGAACGTCATGCTAGAATTTGTAGACGCGTGCCAACTTCACTCTCGTGTTTCATTGTAGTTTGACGTCCCGCACTAATAAGTTTTCCGATATACTGGTACTAGGCGCATTTTCCAGGTGCTAATTTAAAAACATTGCTTTGCGGTTCTTAATTGGGCGGCCGTGTACAGAATATTTATGACGCACGTTTGAGTGCATAAGTTAGTTATGCGTTGTGCTGTTGTTAAATTTATATTTTACTGCTACAATTTAAGCATTAAAATCGCAAGTTTAGTTGTATTTATATTCAAATTTCGAAGAATTATATTTGAATCATAAGCAATAAATTAGCCAACTGAATAAAAATTCGCCTCCACGTGTGATGGTGTCTACAACAAGATGGTGAGCCTCCTTCCGATAGCTACCACCTAAATAAATTTGAAGCGTCAGATACCAATGCAGTAATGGAAATATTGTTTACTCACTTTTCCCGCAATTTCGCTCACGTGGACTGCGATCTAACAATATCATTGATGTTTCATGCCAAAATTAGCAAATAAGTGCTGAGCACTTGTGCAATCACTTCGGCGTCTGTCCGTTACGAATGTTTTTCTCGAAAACTATTCAAGAAGTTGATTGAAATTTGGTATCCTTATAATATTATCATCATCACGGCTTATAAAATTCACTACCGAAAACATAGGCCTCCCCCATTAGATAGCCCCATAGGGTGCATATTTGTTATGGTTACCCCTCTTTGCAGATATGTAGGCAAGCACAGTCTTTTATTATTTTGAGTTAACAGAAGCTGCTGCCTATTTTATGTTTCAGATTCTTTCTGTCGCTTCTTATGACAACCACTGGATGATATGGGAAGCGAATTCACTTACGGTGCCAATTCACGATGAAATAAGACGCAGGTGCTCAAAAGCGGACGTGAGGTGCAGAAACGAATCTCCGACTTGTGTTAGCTTTGTGCTGTAAAACGGGACGCTAAATATGTATTTTT